CCACAAGCATACATCATCTCGTCTCAAACTATCCTCCGCCTCCTCCCTCACCAATGAAGAGAGTACATCCGGTCCCGAACCCAGAGTAGACGAGGATGGCAGCGAACAGCTCGGGGTAGATGGAGTAGAGGATGGTGGAGAACGAGGCAAGGTCAATGATGGAAGTCAGCAGGGTAATGGAAAAATCAAGGCTGACGCGCGTGAAAGCTCGGGCATCTTCCGCTATCCTCTGATCTGGGTTGTCGATCTCCGACTTAGTCTCGAGCTCGTAGAAGTTTCTCCTCGCCTCGAACATGTCCAGGATCCTCTTCGTCATCCAAGATCGCCACTCCATCGCAAGCTTGTCCCTGTAGAACTTGTACAGCACTGACACCGGCGTCCCCCCTGCTAGCGCCAGCACGTACTTCTGCAGGAGAGGGTAGAAGTTGTCGGCATTCTTGCTGCTCAGCGCCGTCCAGAAGTCTCTGCCGAGGTACGAGAACCCAACGGACACCCCGCTGTTGAGGAGGGTGAAGCCGATGACGACAGCCAGCAGGACTCGTGCAGATTTCTCCTCCTTGAAGTAGGGCATTGCCATCTTGGCGAACAGCGCTCCTTGCTTCTTCACCATGTCAAGGCTCACCTGGAAGTCCTCGACTGATTCTGGTTTCCGGGTCGGCATCTGCTGCGCTCTTACAGTGACGATGCCGCATCCTCGTCTGCCAGTTGACTTCCTGTGCAGCGCTAACTTGCACGGCGCAAGGCCCAGGGCGGACGGGTGGAAGCACAGGGCCTGCTGCAGAAGGAGCGCGAAGAAGATGGAGGAGACGAGGAGCGATCTCCGAGATGTCTCGGTGTACCTCATGGTTCGGACGAGTCTGTTAGAACGAAGCCTCGTGTTCACTTCTCGTCTTTTCCCGAGTTGCAATGACCTGTCTTACCCTGCAAACAGCTCTGCCTCGATTGGTTATCTTGTCTCGTCTCGTCTCGTCTCGTCCTGGTCTTGACTTCTCCCGTTCTTTGCTGTCCTCTATCCTCTCCTGCTCTTCCTCCTGCTCCTTCTCCTGCTCTTCCTCCTGCTCCTCCTCCTCCCTTGCCTTAGCCTGTTGCGCAAGGCCCCGACGGTTCCTTATATGGCTGTGGGTTGTAAAAAATGTGCTACAGAAAAGGCAGGGATAAAGTGGTCCCATATAAATTTCCCATAAAATTGTAATAAAATCAAAGGGAATGGCAATCATTGCAATAAATTCTACCTGGACAACATGGCTGCAATAAATACAGCAATAAAACTCCTTGGGCATGGCGAGATGGCGCGCGTGTGTTGGAAGTTCGAATCCGACCAAGGTGAAGACAACAACTGATGAATGAGAAGGATGTGAAGACATGATAACAACTGATGGTTGGGAGAGATGTGAAGATATGATAACAACTGATGGCTGGGAGAGGGAGAGAGAGGGTTATCATGAGAAAGAGAGAGAGAGAGAGAGAGAGAGAGAGAGAGAGAGAGAGAGAGAGAGAGAGAGAGAGAGAGAGAGAGAGAGAGAGAGAGAGAGAGGATAACAGTGCACTTTGACTCTTATATGCATCACATGATACCATTTGACATGTTGTGATGCCAGATATCTGCTGTGAGGGAAGCCCTTGTTGCTTGCTTTCCCGATGCTGAGATCGAGGTGAACGGGATCCTCCCCATTCCCATTCCTATTCCAACATTCTCCATTCTCCTCCCCTCCCCTCCCTAGCTCTTCTACTCCCTCCCCTCCCTTCTCCTCTCCTCCCGTCTCTTCTACTGTTCTCCCTTCCTCCCCTTCCCTCCCTGCTGCCTGCTGCTGACTTGAAAATCTGTAGGTTGATGGCAAGTCAGCTCCCAGTGGAGTTGCGGATCAGCCCATGACGGACGCAGAGACAAGAGCGGCGAGCACGGCAGTCCTTGCGAAGATGAAGCATGGCTGACGAGAAGCAGGGGGCTGAGAATCGTGCGAGATTCCTGGCGACACATGAGAAAGGATACGATTTGTATGCGGGGTGAGGAAAAGACAGGGAGGAAGGAGGGGGGAGGGGCTGATGAGGAGGGGCAGGCTGGAGGGAGGCATCGTGGAGGAGGAAGGAAAGCTGATCTGCTTCGCCTGGATGTTTGTAGGATGAAGACTGGAGGGAGCAGAACGTCTCAAGTCTTGTCAGGTCTTGTCGGCAAAGGACGGCAAGGTTGGTAGCGCAAGAACAGCCACATTTGAGCTGCCGGAGAAAGTGAGCGGATCAACATGGCGGCGACTTTTCTCAGCTGCAGCTGCAGGTAGCAAAGCTTGTACGGGAAGGAGTCGAGCTGGGGGAAGCAGACGACCGGGTGTTTGACCGGTAGACCGCTAGTGCTCTTTGACAAGCTGAGACGTGTGCATGTAGGACAGACTCAAAGCGCAAGGGAGGGACGGTGGGTTACTTGAGTGAGCCGATGAGATTGTTCTCCTTGCCCACATGCTTTGATTGTCATCGGTTGTACAGGCAAGGGGGTGGTTTCAAGAACAGAATACTACAGGTGAGCAGGCTTGCTGCCGCCGTCTGCTGTTGACGAGAGCGTGTCAAAGGCATGCGATGGTCATGGCATTGATCCCTTTCATGAACGAGGAGCTCTACTAGTGATACTCATGATGTTTCATTTCATCCATAGTGAAGAAACCTTGACAAGACCCAACCCTTTCTCTTCACTTTGCTTTCGACGATCCCTGCCTTCTCAAGTTGCTCCACAAAATCCTTCTTCACGTCCACATTCGCGATGCTCTTGGCATAGTAGTCCCAGTCATACTGCGCCGAGAGGATCCACAAGTTGGTAGCATCAACTAGCACGCTGATCCGAGGGTTGTCCGTTGTCCACTTGCGCAAGTTCTTGTCCATAAAGCTGGCGGAGAAAACTTTATGGAGCCTCAATTCGCTATCTGCAACCCTGAACTTTGCAAAGGTGCATTCTTGCTTGTGAAGGAACTTGACAAGGTTGTTGTAGCTCACAACCTTGAAGCCTGTGTTGATTACCTTCTTGACAAACTTGGTCGTCAACTCCGAGTACCTCTCAATGTAGTTCACCAGGAAGCGATCTGCAAGCGCTACGACAAGGAACAACGCTGCCCCGAGCAACAAGGGCTGGTCGTTCCAGCCGTTGGTGTGGTCAGCCAGCCAGGACGGGGCCGAAGTTCCGATCTGAATCCCGAGATGAACTCTATTCACAAGGTCATAGATGAGCGAGGCGAGCAGGGCGACCACGACGACTTTGAGGGAGACGTGGGAAGGTAACAGAACTCTCCCCCGATGGCTCACCATACAGTTCCTGGGCAGCGCCAGAGCCTTTAAGTCCTTGTGGACAGACGACAGCACCTGCTCGTACCTCATCCTTCCCTGGATGTTGGAGACTTCTAGGATGGTCTCGACCTCGTTTTTGGCCCTCAGGAAGACGTTGGCAAGGTCTTCGTACCTGCTCTTGAGGTCCTCGTGATAGGACCGGAGGTTGAGGTACTCGGAAAGGCCCTGATGGAAGCTCATCTTTGACTTCTGATGGCTTTCCCATCTCGAGATCGACTCTGACACGTCATCGAGGCACGTGACGAGGCTCTGGAAGCTGAGAAGCACCTCGTTGAATTGCTGGCGGGACTGCAGAGCCTCCTCCAGCTTCGACACGTCCTGTGACACCATCTTCGACCTGCAGCTCGACAAGAAGTTGTTGATCCCCTTCATCCGAGCATGCAGGCGGCGGACGAATCGGTCAACGACCTTGAGGACAGCATAGTCCAGGATCAGGTACTCCGCCTCCTTGGAGGCAGGACCAGCCAGCAGGATGCCGTTGGAGCCGACGACCACGAGGTCGTGCTGCCCGAGGTCCCTGGCTTCGTACAAGTCCCCTATTAACCTCTCGCAATCAGCCCTGTACGTCAAGTTTCCCATGAAGTCCTTAGCTCTCAGAGGAGGGTCGAGGCGGTCGGCAGTGACGCAGACGTACTTGGCTCTCTTCATCTCCATGCCGGCATAGAGGTTGGACAGCATCTCCTTCTGGAAGCTGTTCAAGAAGCTAGCAGACATCTGACAAGCGTCGTGATGTATGTCCGACATAATGTAGGAGAGCAGGTAAGGAGAGACGTCATCCCACTCGCGATCCTTCACTGCCTCCACTTGTACACCGTGGATGAAGACTCCATTCGCGTTGACGTTCACCCCGAAGTGTTGTTTGCGCTGCTTCTCCCCGACGGCACTCGTTCTGTCTTCCATCTCAAAGTTGACGCACGTCAAGCTCGAGTCGATGATGGTAGATTGCATCTCATACATCTCGCGCGCAAACGAGGAGGTGGTGAATGTATCCTACCTCACAGTCACGACCTTAGAAGCTCTCCTATCCTCCCTCACCTTCCAGTCCACCATGGTACTTTGCGGCGGCAGCGTCTTGAAGACTTTGTACACGCCGTCAAGCTGGGAGATGATGGAGTTGACAAAGTTTGGCCCGGACATGATCCACTCGACTGCACCACAAGTCAACGAAGCCGCGAGTCAAGTCAACGGCAGCAGCGAGTCCAGTCAACTGCAGCAGGCTCACCGAACAGCACAGCAACGCTCGACAGGATGAAGGACTCGGATCGATAGTCCACAACTTGGTCTTGCCAATGCGGGCAGAGCTGGGCAAGCTCCGAGTTGTCGGAAAGCTATGAAAAGTTTCAGACGAACCTCCCGCTATTCAGAACAAACAAGAACCGGTTTCTCCGAGGATCTCACACTGACTGGGATGTAAGGGCTGGTTACGTATGAGATGCGTTCTATCTCTGTAATCAACGACTCCCTCTCCGACCCGTCCACTTGGCGGATGTAGATCTTATCCCCCCGCAGCGAGAAGTTGGCAAGGGATGAAACCACGTCAGAGATGCTCGCGCTCTCCGGCGCGTTAAAGGTCTGTCGCACGAAGGCGTCTACCTCTTCTCTCAGCTCGTCGGGAGTCTCCTGCAAGAACTTTTCTCCTCTCGCTGACGCCCTATAGCTGCTGTAGCTCCAGCCCTCCTCCGTAGGGAATCTGATCACCTCAAGGTAACTCGCGCTGCACAGTTCGTACAGGATGAGCTTGACTTCTTTCGGCAGCTTCAGCCAGAGGTCGATCGTCTTGCCCTTGTCTTCCCTCATCCGCACCAGGCATGGACTCACCAGCATCGTGAAGAGACCGTGAGCGACGGCTTCGAACGAGAGGATGTCCAAGAACTGATCGTTCACCCACGAGTGTGCGTCTACTTCACTGCTCGATTCGCTCGCAAGAAGAGAGACGAGGTACAGCATTCTTGCATGATTCACTGACCACTTCCCCTCCTTGGTTCTTTGCCACTCCCCCTCATGCCTTGCATCATGGGCTAGACGGTTGACCCATTCCTCGCTTTGCCGCAGGTACATGTTATGGTGGATTGGAGCGAGAAGAGCCCCTTGATCGGACCCAGCCTTGTTCTCCTCAGCAGGGCCAGGAGACAACAGCTCTGGGTCAATGCCAGCGCCTGGCAGAGGAAGGCTGGACAAGACATTGGATGCCTCGTTGGAAGACTTCGGCGCCTGCTCGTCCGAGCTCTGGTCTTCGCGTCCTTGCAGCAGCGCCCTTGGGCTCTGAACGGGCGAGGAAGGAAACGAATCGAGGATGAAAGCATGCTCTTCCTTGTCTACGTTCTTCACAAGATACGCAGGTTTCTCCGATTGCAGGGTCTCGAAGGTATCTTTGAACCCCGCCTCCTCCTTCTCGTCTGCCATGCTTGATATACTTCGCTCAGGCTTACTGGCACCCTCAGGCTCAGCAGTGATGATGACAGTGGTGTCACTGAGTCAGGCTTCAGGCTTCAAGACTGCATGGGCAGGTGCTCCAGCTCTCACGCTCTTCTTTCCCCGCTGCGCATCAGCAGCAGGACAGGTCGCCCGGGCCTTCGCTCCTTCATTCTCGCATTGCCTGGGTATGATCAGGGCCTATCCGTTGACAGGGCCTGAGGTTGGGCCCCGAGCCCGCCGGGCCCGGGAAACTGAACTAACTGACCGGCTCGGATGTGGTCGGAGTAGGCGAAGAGCCGCGATGGTGCGGCTGTATGGAGCAGTGGAGGCAGCAGGGACGATGGAGAACTGCGAGGATGCAGAGCTGCTGACAAGCATCAGAAGGAGGAGATCGTTGCCAAGCAGACCCTTCCGGTATCTTGCAGTCAGTCTTGCAGTCCTGGCGGTGGTCGCAATGCTAGCACTCGCCGGCATGGCAGGACGCGGACGTCAAACGTCGTTGATGGGGTGAGAGTTCGGATGTTGCCCTTGATCTGTCCTGCTGCTCCTCATGTCTGACTTGATTGCTGTAGCTTGTACTATCTAGGATGGCCCAACCAATGGGTATGGGCAGACATCCCTCGATCTGAACTGCGAGCACCAGCTTGGGACGGGGCTGGGGCCGGAGGCGACACTGGAGCAAGGTAAACATGCATCCGTCTTGAGTGCTGGGCAGGAACATACTGAAATGATTGTGAAGATACCACTGGAAAGCAAACTCCTTCTCCCCGATTCGTCAGCGTTCCATCGAGATTGCATTCACGCACGATCATTCCAGTATGGCCAACTGGTGGAATGACACAGCGTTTTCTCTCGGCGACTCTGGTCCCTACTGGGTGAAAGGAGCACGCGTTGGATACAATTCGTCAAGCTCCTTCGGAGATCTTGGGTGGGTCAAGAACCCTTTCAAGGGCCTCGTTCCCAACCCGTACGCGATGCCCGAGATGAAGGAAACGCTGCCCGCTGTGAGTGTGAAACTGCAACTGAGATTGTGCTCCTTGTATGGTGACTTGTCTTCTCTTACAGATGGAAGATCCTCTGCAGTATTGGGGAAAGATCTTTCCGGTGTATAAGGGATATTCGTCCAACCTCTTTGGAAATTCCAGCGCAGAAGGCGAGGAGGAGGCGGCGGAGGGGGAGGGCGAGGCTCAGCCTGCAGAGCAAGAAGAGGCTTCGCCCGAGGAGGCGCAGGAGGAAGAGAACCTGCCACCAGCACGTGTGTTCGGAAGCGAGAACCCAATGATCTTCGGAGACCTCGAGCCTGTGGGTGGATTTGCGCATATTCCGTTGCAATTCAAACCTGCTCGTTGGTATCGTCGGAGATACTCGTCATTCCGAAAGTTCTAGGTGCGGAACAAGCGAAAGCAGGTCTTGCCTCGAATCCTCATCAGGAAGATTGGGTGGAAGCACGAGTGATTTGTTACTGTTGCTGCTAATTGGAGACATGTGTACATTTTAAGATAATTTACTGCTCATAGAATTCGAACTCGAAGATCTGCCCTAGGTACTTGTCTGATCCTCCTGTCTTCTCTTGTTGCGCTTTCGAGGCCTGGCTTGTAATCCTTCTCGAGTGGAGTCAGCGTTCGCAGATGTGGGCTCCTCATCGGGTACAACAATCGCTCCTTGCTCCATCGAGGATGGGAGGGCATGTTGCTGATCGTCTTGCCTTGCTGCTGTGGTGGCAGTCGGAGAATCTGAGTCCGAGGTGTGATAGTCGTCATCCCTAGGCAACTTGCGCTCCAGCCATTGTTCGATCTCGCTCTTGTGCTTGTTGAGCTTTGTCACCGCCCCTCGAACTATTTGCTTCTTGTCTTGTTTGGACCTCTTCTCGAGAGAATCTTTCTCGCTTTTCAAGGTTTCGATGAGTCTTTTGTACTGGGCTTCTTCGGATTTCAAACTTTTGAGTTCGCCTTGCTTCTTTGCTAATTGACATTCGAGCATTTCCATCAAATGAATAGAAGGAGTCTGAACATAATCGTAAGACCACCATTCGAACCTTGCAAGACATTCAAAACCTGAGTGGGGAGTTTGTTCAAGACAAATGGAGCACTCAACTTGGCTGTGATGAAGCCCACGGCTTGTTTCCAACTCACAACCAGGGAGGCGTCATTGGTTTTATGAACATTCACAGTCATCTTGACTTCTTCCAGCTTCTCATGCTTGTTTGACCCAATGAAGAATTTACCATCCTCTTCTCGACATTTCCCTGTCAAACAACAGCAAACAATATTAGCCCATGCCTTCTCCTTGATGGGCGCCTTGTCTTCTTTCAAACTGAGAAATTCTGTGGCGAACAAAATTTGGGTGAGGAAGTCACAGAACCAATTTAATGACCACCTCTCGCTGTTAGAGGCAACCTCCATGCTCCGAGCCCGTTGGTCAAGAACAAGGACATGGAAGGCTGGTCTTTGGTTGTCTCGTCAAAAAAGCACCCATCGGGCATCTCAAATCCTCCTTTCATCTCCACGCTCAACATGAACCATCCATCATCTTGACTGCAAGTACAGAACAATAGGTAAGCTCCAGATGAAGAAAACCAAGTTGAGGAACAGATCAAATAAAGTGGCAAGAGTACAAAGGATTTGCTCGATACACTGAAACAGATGGACAGGGAGATAAGGAGGAGAGATACTGACAAAGAGGAGAATGGCGGGGAGAGGAGGGCAAGGAAGATAAGAGCTGGAGGAGAAGAGCTGGATGAGGTCGAAGCACGCGAGAGGTCGCCGACATACCTTGAGGGCACTTCAGTAAAGTACTGCATAAAATCGAGTAGTGCACCGCCCCTCCTAGCAAGCTATCAAGTTCTTTTTTGTTCTTTTTTATTTTTCTTTCTTTTTTCCTCTTTTACAGTCCTTGCCTGTTCTATATCCGGCGACCGTTGAAACGGAAAGTCAAGGCAAAATGTGAGCAGAGCGGCTCTGCGCTGCTGACTTGCAGGCTCCTGATATCCTCCTCTCCCTCCTCTCCCTCCTCTCCCTCCTCTCCCTCCTCTCCCTCCTCTCCCTCCTCTCCCTCCTCTCCCTCCTCTCCCTCCTCTCCCTCCTCCTCTCTCGCTCCTCAGTCGGGCCTACCCTGAATCTACCGAGGGCCCGTGATTGAGACGGGACTGCCTTTGAGGGCGGAGGCTAACTAGAGACTGACTTGTCCCTTATTGCAACAGGTTTCAGGACATCCGCAAGGCCAACGAGCTCTTCGAGTTTGACAACTCGTCTTCTGCTACTCAGACTAGCGAGCTTGTAAGTGTATTGATGTACTCACCTAACTACAAGCAGCAATCATCATGACTTGCACATGCGATCTCGTTGAAGGATGATGAATTGGTTTCCTTCAGGTTGGATGCACAACGGGAGTCAGCCCCGCTCAGCCTGGTTACCATCACAAAGTTTGCTACAACCCGTGAGCGTCTCGTCCTCGTCTCAATACTCATCCTCAGCATCCTCCTGATCTCTCATTTTGACTCTTTCAATTCAGGGTGCCCTGGCAGTGGTACAATGGTAACAAGTGAGTTGCTCTCTTGCAACGATAGGCGGGATCTTGACCTTTCTTGCAGCTATCACTACGCTGCTCCTGCCGGTGATGCCAATGCCGTGGCATATGCTTAAAGAACGAGGACATTTGTAATCACTGCAGAATAGATGCCGAAAAACGATGAGTCGTCTCAAAGTGTTGTTCATACCATACGGCGCAGCAGCGCAGCATTATGTATCTTGAGAGCCAAAAGTTCTGCATGCAGGTTTGGTTCCTCCGATGAGCCCGATGATCGTAGACTGTCCTCTTTCGTCTTTCCATGCCAGGTGCTGCTGCGTAAAACCTGTCAAAGGACGGCAGCACAGTATCTATAACAACTTCATGCCCGTCGGTCGTTCATTCTCACTGCGAAATTGCCCAACTGTCAGGTACTTCCTGCAAATAGCGTGAGCAACAATAACCCTCACGTGCCTGTTGTCTCCTTCACCTTTCTGTTCCTCGCTGAGAAGCAAGGACGATTCTGTGGTCGCTCCTTGCAGGAATGTCCTTCCTCAAGGAAAATGCAGGTTGTAGAGGCGCTTGCGATGAGGTTTGATGCCCTTCAACGACGGTCTCGTATTTCTTGAGTGTGAGGGAAGCTTGCAAGTCGCGCAAGTCTTGGGAGAGTTTTGAGTTTTCGCTCATGATTGCTTTTAACATGTTCCACAGGTCTTGCAGAGAATTCGTCTTGCCGTCATCGACGATCTTCTTGTTCAAGAGATCATAAAGCTTCTGCAGCTCAAGCTTCAGGGACTCGATCTCCTTGTGGTGGAGCTCCTGTGTAGCAGACATGAGCGTTCAGGCTCCGATTCCTTTCAGCTCACCGATATCTCCTTGACCAGCTGCATCTCCGCCAGCTGCGCCCTTGTCTTCCTGAGCTCTTCGTACAAATTTTCACCCTACGATGAGGATGAGGAGCGATGGGAGGAGATCGAAGGTCATAGCCGCACACTAACAATCTTTGGAGATCTCTGCTCCATACCTTAGACATGAACGAATCCGACAGGTTGTCCGAACTCCGTCCGAGTTGGTCATTTTCAATTTGAGACTGGGACATATCTATGTCAACAAAGCATGGTCATCTCACTTGCGAGCAAGTGCCTGCAGCATCAAAAGCTGCTCCTCGATGGCTGAGAGGTTCTCCAACGCTTCTGCCCTAGTACCATCCACAGCAGTGATTGAGTGCATCGTATCCTGCTGTACCAGCACAAGTTAGTGAGTGCTAACAACCGCCCAAAGCTGATATAGCACTTCTCCATCCTGTTCCTTGTAGTCTGCTGCACGAATCGCCTCCTCAGCCGCAGTCCTCAGGAGATCCACCTGGGATCGAACTCACTGCAGGACTCCCTTGCGCGCCTCGGGAGAATTGCAGAGCCTAGTTCTCTGCTTTCACCTGGTTTGCGAGGCGGAAGTTCACTTCAGCTGTGTTGAGCATCTCATCTATCATCGCGCCGACTCCCAGCTCGTCTGCTCATGAGGACACTCAAGGTTCAGAGGCAGCAGCAGGGCAAGCTGGGGGGCTCGACGCACTCTGATCCACATGAGGCAGGACCGCGAACTTCTCCATGACGTGCAACCGCGCTGAGAGCTCTGCTTCCTTCTGCTTCGCCTGCGCCCCAGCCGTCGTCATGCAGCTGACTCTGGATGGCAAGTCTCACTTGGAAGAGCTGCTCCTCGAGCCTCGCGATCCTCTCCCTCAGCCTTCTCTGCCATCCACGGTTCCGTGAGAAGGCATGCATGCAGCTTCACTGCCGCACCTCCGTCGTCTCGCTCTCCGCCTTGAACGATGAGAAGGCATCTGAAATCTTCCTGATAATCGCAACTGCGTGCTCTACTTCGTCTGCCCCTCCTGTCATCCCCACCCATAGACTTCCGAACAATACCTGCATCCTCCTCCAACTGCACCGTCACCCCCCACCTCTCCCCCACCCCCTCGACCTCGTCCAGGAGCTTCTGCAGATCCCCGCAGGAGCCTCCTGCTCGACCTCGCGGGGCGTACGCCTGCAAGAACTCTTCCTCCCCCCACGCTCCCTGCTCCCTTCCCGCCATCTCTGGTCTGCTCAGGGTTCACTGAACTATCTCATAGTCAGTAGACGGGATTTGATCCTACTCGGGGGCATACAGGAGGGGAGGGGAGGAGGAGATTGTGGAGGTGGCGGGCGGGGATGTTGATCAGAGGGGAGAGAAGATGGCAGAAGAACTTTATGAACACTTTACATCATAGATGGATCTTTATGAACACTTCACATCATAGATGGATCTTTATGAACACTTCACATCATAGATGGATCTTTATGAACACTTTACATCATAGATGAATCTTTTTAAACACTTTACATCATAGATGGATCTTTATGAACACTTTACATCATAGATGGAACTTTATGAACACTTCACATCATAGATGGATCTTTATGAACACTTCACATCATAGATGGATCTTTATGAACACTTCACATCATAGATGGAACTTTATGAACACTTTACATCATAGATGAATCTTTTTAAACACTTTACATCATAGATATGAACACTTTACATCATAGATGAATCTTTTTAAACACTTTACATCATAGATGGATCTTTATGAACACTTCACATCATAGATGGAACTTTATGAACACTTTACATCATCTAGGCTAATCCTCAACCCTACTTACTGCGAGTCCATTGAAACAACTTGATGCCGCTCAGATCCAGTAGACCCTTCCACTGACGAACCATACAGTATTCAGATGAGAATGTTTGCTTGCTTGCAGAAATTCTACTCTACATAAGTTACAGCCATGGTCTTGCTCGCATACGCTCTCTTGCTGCCCCACCTCACCACCATGAGCTCGTTCCCGCAACAAAACATGTTCTCCTGGTTCAAGACAGCAGCATGCCGCTCCTCTGCTCCATGTACATGTCTCAGTCATGCAATCCTGCACCTGCACTGGCTCGACTTGTCGCTCTGCTCTGCTGAAGCATTCACAACCACTCCCGCCCTCATACGTTGTCATACCAGCCATGTCGGAGATTCCCCATGACGTTTCAAGGACATGCTCTTCCCTGCCTGCCTCCGACCTCAGCAACTCCAGGAGCAGCATCGCCTCCCTACCTCCTTCAGCACTGCGACTCTCTGGCTCCTCGCCATCCATCGGAGGACCGGCTGCTCTTACAGCTCGATTCAATACCATGTTTTCGACCTCCTCCTGCTCCTCCTCCCGCCCAGTCTGGCCGCCTGCCTCCTGCAGTAAACAACCTCCTTTCACCACAAGAGCAGAGCGTCTCAGTGCTCCTCCTGTACCGTCATCGCGGGCTCGAGCTTGACGCCAATGTCAGCCGTACGAAGCATTTCTGCATTCTTCTCGTCGTGCGGCCAGTGTTCTGTTGCAGCAGGGACAGGACAGACAGTCAGATGCAGGCGACTAGAGCATCATACTCTCATGACCTCCACCATCCTCCTGCTATCATGCACTGTGAGCATACGACTGGACATGTGATGGAAGAACACTGACCTTGTGGGCTGCCATCTCCATCCTGGGGGAGAAATCGGGGGAAGAAACCTGTCAGTGTCGAGCAATCAATCATGATGAGCATTCTTAGCTTGGGTTACCGAAGGCTCATCGTCCGAATCATCATCTCCCGTCCCCGATGTTGTGCTGCTGTGAGAACATCATGGGAAGCGGCGAACTGTTGCCTCTTCTCGGCACACCTCTCCTCTTCTACGTGGGAGATGTCGTCGTTCTCGGTAGCGTCCGAGCCGTCGCGGCAGTGACCTGGCATGCTAGATCATCGACAGTTCATGTGAACAACACTGTACATTATGCAAGAATGATCACGTCATAAGGCACTATATCTTGCACAACCAACTTTCAAAGACAGATGGAATTTCGAGAGGCTTCAAAGATGTTCAACAAGATCAAAGAAGACGCAGAGCAGGACAAGAATATGTTTACCAACCATCTGCGGCCATGTCTACTACTACACCGTGGCCCCCACCATCGTGGGCCCCAACCTTCTTCACGTCTTCAAGCAACTTCGGCAAGCTGCCCATGCTAGCGCCTTTAGTAATTGATTGAGACGGTAGCCGCCGGGGTCGGGCCGGGGCCCTGCCACTTGAACTTGAAAGGGCCGGACCTCAGTGTCCGGCGCGGTGAGGCGAGGCTACTGGCAGGCACTGGCAGCCTGAGGCTAAGCCTGTGGGCCGCCGGGTCACCTACAGTACTGTAGTATCTCTCATGTGCTCCTCAATTCTGGTTTCAAGCCGTGTGCATTACGCTCGGACTCGGAGAAAAGACAGTACAGCTGAGCGAGAACCAACCCTCATCCGGGCGCGGCCAGGCCCACCGCAGCTCCCGAGTCCGGCACAGGGCCCGCCCGGCCGCGCCGCCGGGCCGTACCGCCCGTGTGCAAACTTCAACGGTTCCGAAGTTCACTCGGCTCCGAGGCTCGCCGTCAAGTGACGTGACAGTGACGGAGTTGCGAGGTAACTAATAATTTCAGCCAACTGAGAGGTCCCCGAGGGGTGGTGTGAAGTTGACAAATCTTTCCAGTGAACTTGGACCTGCGCACCGGTGTCTCAAATGGACCGGGTGGTTGGGTGTGTAAATTGGGGGTAATAGTGTGATGAGAAAGGGGTGAGTGGGGTACAAGAGCTGTCCACCCCACCTGATAGGACCAGTGGGTAGGGTGGTGACTTTTTTAGAGTCAGTTCTGTTCCCTTCTGTGTAGTAAACTCATGGAGGCTATTATTTGATGGACCACCCCGACCCCCCCTCGGACCTCTATTTCCGTCTAAAACAACCCCGTTATTTTTACAAACACCGAGGTCCAACACGGGACTGCGTATGTCGCAGTCGCCTTGTCCCCACCTCAGCCCTTGCCTCGTTGTTTGCTCGTAGCATCCACTGCTTCCATCCTATCTCTCTTCCTCTGGTCTCTATCTGACTTCTCTCTCCTCTTCTTGTCACTCCCTATTGCTGTCACTCTTTGGTTTGCGCTGTCGTCCAACTTTCTACCCTCTGTACAACATTGTCAGGATGGACCAAGCAGCAGTTGGGAGACTTGCGTCGTTTGCAAGGACAGGATTTCGATGGTATCTAGCGTTCATGTTTGCAAGAGCCTCTCGTTTTGTCTTGGTCAGCTGCTGGAAGGCTTGGATACTCAGCAGGATACCTGGCCCCAAGAGTGAATCGTTGTTGTTCGGACAGTTCAACCACCATCGAAGAGGCAATGTCTGTGATAGCTTGATGCGTTATACATTGGACTTTGGGAATATTTGTTGTTACAGGGGGGTTGGTCTTTTGTTCAGAGTCATTGTGAGTGACCCTAAGGCTATCAAGCACATCCTTGTCAGCAAACCATATAGTTTTCCTAAAATGCCGCTTGACTTGTTCTTGATCAGGCGCGCCATCGGAGATGGCCTGCTTGTCGCGGAAGGAAATCAGCATGTTCGGCAGAGAAAACTCATCAGCGAGGCATTTCACTTTGATGCCATATCTCAGATTCATCCTATCTTTGTACAAGCCACAGAAAAGCTGCTGCGCAAATGGGAGAGGCTATGTTCGACAAGGCAAGAGCCAGTGATAGATGCACGAGAAGAGTTCTCTTTTATCACGTTGGATGTCATAGGATTATCGGCATTCGGATTCGATTTCAAAGCCGTGGAGGGGGACTATTCCGAGATCAGGGAGGCGTTCAGAAACATCATCCCTTTGGCGGGGGTCAGTCTAATCTACGTAATCTTGAAGTTTTTCCCATTCGTAGAATATTTACCCCTCCCAGACAACATGATTCGGAACTCCGCAGTGAAGACAATTCAAAATGCAGTGAAGCAGGTAATTGACGAAAGGCTGCACCTGATCGAGAAGGGACAGAAAGTTCCGAAGGACCTCCTGAGTCTCCTCCTGAACACGAGGCAGAGCGCGAGTGAGAAGGAGCGACTGACGGACCAGGAGATCATGAACAACGTACAGACCTTCATGGTGGCCGGGCATGAAACAACAGCCAATGTTCTTTGCTGGACATTCTATCTGCTTTCTGAGAACCCTGAATTCTGTAAGCGGCTACGATCCGAGGTGTGGGAAAAGTTGCAGGGGAAGGCGCCTACTATGAGACAGTTACAAGATAAAGAGCTGCCGCTGCTCTCTGCCACCTGCAGAGAAAGCATGAGGTTGTATCCGGCAGCTCCAATCATTTCCAGGTACTGCAAGGAGGACACGGTTCTAGGGGGCTACTTTGTGCCTTCTGGCACCAGCGTTCTACTATCTCCCTGGGTCCTCGGAAGACACCCTGACCTTTGGGAAAGGCCCAATGACTTCTGGCCAGAGCGATGGCTGGACAACAGCCCAAGGGGTGTTTCAGAGGACAATCCTTTCAAGTGGCTTGCCTTCCTAGCCGGTCCCAGACAGTGTGTAGGACGGGGCTTTGCGGAGAAGGAGCTCATGGTGACCATCGCCCTGATCCTACAGAACTTTGACCTCAAGGTTGACCCATCTTGCGAGCCAGTGACGCCGGTGCATCAGATCACGTTGCGCCCTTCATCGCTGAAGATGAGATTGACCAAGATCACGGGCCCTTTCTGATCAGACGTTTCTTTGCTGTACATTCCTTCGACATGAATAGAGCCCATCACAAGCGAGCAATAGTACCTCATTCTTGCCTTAATACATGTCAACTGTATTGAAGCGAAGCTTCCTCGTTCACACCCGCCCGACTGTCGTGGCACCTGAAGTCGGAAGACTCCGTCGTGCTATTTTGAATTGAATTGAATGCAAAATGACTGGCTGATGCATGGGTTGAAGACATGAGAAGGTTCGAACTGAACAGACACTGTCAGTTCGCTCAAAACTGACCTGTATTCCGATCAGCTTAGCAAGTGTGTTGACTTCAGCTAGATAGGTTGCAAGATTTGGGCGAATCATAGGGCGAAACCCCAACAATTAGATCATAGTAAATGAGCAAGAGTATGGCTCGAGCAGGGACAAGAAAGAACGCAGGCGAGGACAGCGCGAGGTGCATATCAGGACAGAGCATGAAAAAATCGAAGAGGAGGAAGTTAAAAGCAGAGGGTGAAGGTGAAGGATCGGATAGATCAAGGAAGATGTTGGAAGGATTGATTGATGAAGGTATTTGAAGGGAAGGATGAAGCTGAAAATGAAGAGAAGGAAGGGGGGAGAGGGGAAGGAATGACAACAGAAGTAGGCGGGATAGGGCGCAGAGGGAGTGAGGGGAGAGATATCCGAAATAGAACAAAGATGTCAGGAACAAAGATGTCAGGAACAAAGATGTCGTGAACAAAGATGTCAGGAACATAGATGTCAGGAACATAAATGTCAGGAACAAAGTCAGGAACATAGATGTATGCGCGGGTTCTTGTGCGTAGCCCAGTGAAGGAGACAAGGGAAGACGACAGGAGGGTCTGCCTCAGATGCACTCCCTAAGGGCTTGGGGGCAGGTAGGGGTGATAAAATCAGACAAAGGGGTGGGTTATTTTGTCGAGCAAACGCAGGATAATATAGGGGTTCCCCATGAAAGATGGGGGTGGGGGCAAGGAGGGTAAGAGGGTGGTGTGGCAGGGGGTGACGTTACGATGGCGTAAGAGACAGGGGAGGAAACAAATGAGGCTGAGGAGAGGAGGAGAAGGAGAGGAGGAGAAGGAGAGGAGTAGAAGGGGAGAGGAGGAGGGAGAAGGTGAAGATGGAGAGAGCTGGAGGAGGCAGAGAAGACGAGGCAGACGAGATAGGAGAGATGAGCGAAAGCATATCAAAAGAGATGATCAGACAAGCTGTTTGAAGAGAAGCGAAGAGATCACAAGAGATTGGAAGGTCGGGATCACACTTCTAATGCGCTTGTGTTTCAACGATTCGCTTCCGCATTTCTCCCTTTGTTTCATTTGCACATGCTTTGCTCCATCAATCGTAGCATAGCATTTCAGACAGATGTTTTTGCCTGTTTGACGGTTTGCTTTCCGAGCAGAAATGGCGCGGTCGAAGGGATCCGACACGCCACTGTTGAAGAAGGGGAGGTGGCAGAGTCACTACGTGAACGGTCTTCCCTTCACCATCGCGCTCGCAACCTTCGCGCTCGTTGCCGTTGGGGGTGTGATCATGCTGTCGGCCATGCTGGTGTCGGGTGACCGCGCTCTTGACCGCTCGCGCTCTGCTCATGCCATTGCAGGATCGGCAAAGGAGGCGCAGGAGCTCCTTCCTGCAGCTCCTCCTTCTCTGCATAGCAATGTATACGGGGCGAAGCACGAAGGTGGGAAATGGCGTTGGAAAAGAGGGAGGTGGGCGCTGAGAAGTTTGTGGAAGGTGTGGGATTTGCGAATTACGTGGTTGGAAATGCTGTCTCTAGCTTCTGGAAGAAGGAGATGGGAAAGTCTGGACCTAAGAAGATGAGCGATCCTTTCGCTTCCTTCCTGTGAGGAACTGTTGCTCCTCTCCCTCCTTCCCCCCCTTCGTCCTCCTCCTCCTCCTCTTCCTCTTCCTCCCCTTCCTCCTACGCTGAAGACTTTGTGCTCAGGCTTCCAAACAAGCAGAAGAAGTCGCGTGGATCAGCCAGTACGCCGGAGGAAGAGGCAGACGACGCACAGCAGGTCGACGAAGGTGACGTCATCGATTCTGCCTCGCGCCTTCACGCCCTCACTCCCCTTGCAGACCATCAGAGGATCGGTAGGGCTCGCGCTACCAAGGAAGCCATCCGGCATGCCAAGGACGTGGCCGAGTATCACGTGAGCGTCGGGTGACTTGTTGATCCCGGTCAGTGAGTTTGTCTTGGCAGAAGCGCCAGGGATCTGCAGCGGTCGGGCATTGAATCTTGTTGCGTGATGACGACATGCTCGAACGGGTTGTAAAGTATGCTGTTGCCTATAGGTGCTGTGCACGGGGACCAAGAGGTGTGTACATGATAGTTCGGACCACGACGAAGTTGTCGAATAAAACTCTCGCTCATCTCCTCCCTGTTCTTGCGCACGTGTATCTATCTTGCATGCTTGTATTGAGAAGATCCGTCCCTCCTCAACAGCACCACAACAGCCCAACTCTTGTGACTGAAACCTTCCTCTCACCGATTCCTTGTCTTCCTTACACCCCGTTGCTCCCCCCCCCCCTTTCCATTGTCTATGCTTCTCTCCTGCATGTCCTACACTCCTCATCTTCCTCTCCTCCCTCCTTTCCTCCTCATCCTTGCTTTCCTCTTCCCCCCCTTCCCCCCCCCTTACCCCCCACTTCTTCCCCTCCCCCCCCACCCCCCCCCCCGTCCTCCCTCTCGCTTTTCCCTGGTTTCTTCCGGTTCACTTTGTGTTGCCCTGCCGTGTCGGGCCGCATGGCAGTGGGCGGGGGGTGATGGGGGCAGCGACGTCATGGCTGCATGGGGCAAGCAAACGAGTCATGCACGTCGACATGTTCGACTACGACCTGCAGCCGTTCCTGCTGGGGTGGCAGGTGGAGGAGCAGGTGAAGCGGGAGGGACTGTCGAAGAACCACTTCGATTTCAAGCAGATCATAGGCGATCTTAGCCCTTAAGTTGGGAAGGGAGCGAGTGACGGCTGAGCAGGTGTGAGCTTGTTCGGGCATGTGCAGCTGTGCAAGCACAAGAAGTCAGGCGTGTTCGTCGCTGTGAAGTGCATGGCGAAGTCGGAGGTCGTGCGGCTGAAGCAGGTCAGGAGCGTTCTCATGGAAAGAGAGTTAGTCCAGCATTTCAACCATCCCTGCATCGCTCGATCCGCGGGCTCCTTTCAGGACGCTACCATGCTGTACCTGGTCGTCGAGCTCTGCCCGGCTGGGGACTTGTACAACTTGATGCTGAGACAACCATCCAAGTGATCCTCCCTCCTCCCTCCTCCCTCCTCCCTCCTCCCTCCTCCCTCCTTCTCTCTTCCCCCTCCTCCCTCCTCCCTCCTCC